ACCTGGGGGAGGACCAATGGTCTCCATAGCATAGGCACGCGGAAACAAGGAGCTCTCCCAAAGCACTTTGGGCATCATCGCCTGACGGGCGAGGGATGGTTTCTGGGTGAGGCGGGGAGCAGGAATAATGACCCATATCAGAGACCACCTCATCCAACAGCTCTGAAAGAACTGCGAAAGTTACTTCTCGTTAAGAAGACAAGGGAGAAAGACTTCCAACAGTTGCTGCTTGAACCTTACCTCCCCTGAAGGCCAAGACGATCACGAGATACGTTCTCTTCAGAAACAAACAATAAAGGAAGAGCCCCAATGTTTTGGGCTCAAAAGAGCTTCTCCATTCAAAGGCCCCATTCAAAAGAGCTTCCCCATTCCTTTCCCACTAAGGAATCTGTCCCTTTTGGGTCATACCTCCGCCCAAATGAAATGCAGTAATTCTAGGAAAGCATTCTGAGGATCATTAATAAACAGATCCAAGGTGCCAAACTAAAACTAAAAAAGCTGGAGCCTGAGAAATTTCCCAAGCTGTCTCCTGTGAAGGATGTCTCCTTTTTCAGCCAACCTCATTGTACTTTACAGTCCTTGGTGTGGAACAACTGCCTCCGGCACTTTCTAAAGGAGCCTTCCTGCTGCGGATAATCACCAGAGTGGCTCTGGACTGGAATGACTCTCGTCTCCCTGGGAAACAGATGCTTCTGCAGGTGTGAAAGGAGATACACCACAGACCAAGAAACCGGCTGGGAAGCAGACCATTTATCCCCAAAAACATGTTCTACTCTGGACTTTTATCAATGGCTTTTTAAGGAGAACTGAAATTGGTGCAACGGGCTCTGGTGCAGCCTCAGAAATCTTGCCTCGGTGCCAAAGCTTGTGGTGTAGCTCCATTAGTGCTGAAGGATGGCAAACATTTCAAGTGATGCTGCTCTGCAGGCTATCAATGCCTACCTCGTGAAGGTTGTTTCTTGAAGAAGGACCAGAGTGCAGAGAAACAGGAACAAGCAGAGGACTCATTCTGCTCCAGTTCTATACCACATGGGAGCAAGGTAAGGCAAAGAGGTTTCTTGGGAGTAAAGAGTAGCCAGAAGTTAAATCACATCTTACTTTTGGTTTTTTTCTTCCATGAGGTCTTCTCACCTGGTGCCTTTGTGGACACTGTTGGTCAGGTGCCAAACAGGTCAGAAGACCGGATTTATGCTCTCCTTTTCCAGCGTGAGTTGAATCCCCCTTTAAAGGTGGCAGGGTCGAACTGAGTGAGAACAAGTAAGACAGAATGCAAAGTCTCTCCTGTTTGTAGGATGAGCTGCTGGCTAGAGAGAAAGAAGTGAAACAGGCAGATAGATCCTCAGGGTGGACGTCCCCATTGGCAAAAACTGATTGAGAGAGGGACCCTGTAAAAGAAAACAGTCCGAGCTGCAAATACCTTGCCCTACAGAGGAAGGGAAGGTGTCACAGAAGCCCTCCAAATGAGGCAATGATGCTTAGTACTAACAATTCTACACAGCCCTGAAAAAAAGGAAAAACATTCATCACTCCGGTCACAGAGGTAAACTATCCCTTTGCAGAGTTGCATCCTGAAGATGCTTCTGTCTCTTTCTTTTTGCCCTTCATTTGAATACTAGGAAATTGAACTCCAGGAAGGAATGCGTTCCTGCAATAACAAAGATGCTACTTATCTGACACAAGTCAGCTATACCTGTTTGCTCGTATGGGACACAGGGGGAAAAAAAGTCTCTGAAATCAGCTGCAGAGGTAACAGCTATGGACCAAAAGTCAGTCAAACCTGGGAGTGCCAAGTGGCAGACCCCAGGCCAGTATCAGTACAGAAATTGCACACCAAAGCTCTTAATTTCCAAAGCTAGAAAGATCGTTCGAAAGAAGAGAGATTAAAGAGAATTAAAGAGAAAGCAGTGATGCAGCTGAAACTGGCTCAGCCAAGCGATTGAAAGAAACCAAGAAGAACACACTGCTGGTAGTAATTGCACATAAGAGATAAGGCAGACATGGAGTTCATATTACAAGAAACCACCAGCTTAAAAAAAATTCCCTACATCATAGTGCTTGTATATAAGAACCAACAGACAATCACCTCAAGAACTTCACTGATTTTGGTAAGAACTGAAAATGGAAACAGAGAAGCAAAGGGCATTTACAAGACTCCAAATGCTATCTACAGCTCAGGAAACCTTTAGTAGATCAATTCTGAAAAGCATTTCCTATCTTAATGTGGTCACTACTCCAACTCCGTTTCAAAATGCAAGAACCGTTTCCCCAGTGTAAGACCCTGCACAACAAGCAGGGACAGGAACTGTTCCCCAGAATGAAAAATAAGAAGGGAATGTGTAGGCAGAAAGAGCATCTAATCTGGGCAGCGATCATCCAGCTGCTGTATGCCACTGGGATATACAGTCATGGCAGTAAAATCCCAAAGGGAGTGAGAAATGGGGAAAAAAGAGCTCTCTACAACAACCTCAGATGAAAAGGTCTTAACTTCAGTTGACAGAGCTGTAGCACTAACGTTTTCTAGCAACACTTTTCTACCGTTTCAGAATTTTAGTTGCACTATACTTTCTATGGAAAAAAAACCTATGGTAGTAACATCTGTAGAAATAATTCCTGATATTTTTTAAATGTAGATAATAAATGATCAGTCCCACAGAGTTTTAAATCAAAACTCTGGCAGACACCTGTGGCAGAAAATAATGGTTTTCCCCCTTTAAAGAAGAAGGTCTACTATGTAATTCAATGGATAAAAGTGTATGGCACTGAGTCTATGCCATTAGAAACTACTGAAACCCTTCAATAAAATATGAGAAGGAGAAAAGGAAATCATGAACAGGAATGAAAAAGGAAAGTGGATCTTTTCTGATGCATAAACAAACAATTACAGAAGAAGAACTTTAGGGGATGGAGTTTATATGCTCTGTTGTCAATTGCTTTGTTGCCTTTGTGTTAAAATTTACATGCCAATATCCAAAAAAATTACTTGAGTGAATGCAAAAAGATATGAGGCAGCTCATGAAGACTAACCCTGGATTAGCACAAGTATTTAATGCACAGAGACAGAGAAATATTTCAGGTATGGGTGAGAAGAAAAATGACAGTCCACAACACAGCAGTGAAAAGGAAAATGGACACTGGGGAGTAAACTGTCTCACTTTACTCCTTTTCTTTATCCACATATAAGCTGGATTAGATGATATAAAGTAGACATATAAAGCCAGGCATTCATGAGCATAAGGCTCAGAAGTGTGGGGAAAAGAAAACGTAAGTATGGACCACTGATAAACATCATGAACTGGTAAGTATTTCTCAGTCAGTATGTAATTTTCAATATTTATTTTTCCTACTATTTTATCTGATTGCCTTATAGGTTCTACTCTTTCTTAGTATGCTTTCGCCAGTAGAAAGAATCAAGAATTTTTATTTTTGTATGGATCAATCGATCAAACGAGTTTTTAAGTTGATTTGTAACCATTCTGTTCTGAACGACATGATTAAAGAAATCTGCATATATTTCATGTCTCTTTTTACTCTGCAAAAACAAAAGCAAGTAATGCATCCCATTACATACCAGTCCCCTAGAACAGATTACATTTTCCTCATACAGCATCACATTAAGACAGAGAATACCTTTGCTGTGACATTCTCCTTTCTTTGTCTAAACAGAAATGTAGTGTATCAATTTCTAAAAATATGCAAATTGTAAAGCCTTAAATTGGCCTTACATTTGCGTGAAGAAAAGCAAACCTGTATTTTCATGCAACGGACCTGTATTTTCAGTGAATATTCTTCCTAAGTAGATAACATAAAAGTAAACTTTTCTTTTTTTCTGAGTCGGGAAGGGTGTTAAAAGGGTTATTAGCTTTTTGCTGACAGAATAACATTAACATATTTT